GTGAGCTCCTGTGGTGAGAAGGGAGAAGGAAGATGAGGAGAGCAGAATATTGGGCAAGAAGGAAGACCATTACTATTACCAAAACATGCAAGGAGAGAGGCAGCCAGGAAGGAGGTTTACAGGGAATTAGCATGTACAACATGGCTGTAAAACAGACTACTATCAAATGTAGAGTTTATGGTTTCAGATGGGGTCAGCCTGTGTCTATTTGATATGGGTAGGGACTGGAGTCAGATATTGGCCACAGTCAATGATTGGGGTGCCCAAAGTGCACTTTTAACCCCCCCCCCTTTCGCTCCATTAAGTAACCACAAATACAAGGCTTTTGGCACAGAATTTGTTGGCTCCCAAAGAGGGCTTCACTCGTTTGACTTGGGGAGCAATCAATCATAGGCCTGGAATATCACAACACAGCTACCAACTTAAAATATCACAACCACTCCATTGAGGCTTCCTTTTAAACACTGCCTCTCTCTCCACCCTGCAGCATTGTTTCAGGGATCTGGAGGCTTTCCTTAAACTTGCCTGAGGAAGGACAGTACCTTCCCTGATGGTTATCACTCCAGATTTCTCTGGCTAACTCCTTTGTTGGTGGCTCATATCCTGGCAAAGCACAAAGTAAAGAGGCAGTGCTCTGCCAAGCAATACAGGAGAGATCTCTTGATACCCCCTTGGCAGCTATCCCCCTTGCTGGCTGATCCAGCAAAAACAACTCTATTTTGCACTGCAACTGGAGGTTAACAGAGCCCACACAGGCACAAAGAAAATAAAAAACTTCCTAGGTCTGTATTCAGGGACTGTATGTAGACACAGAGCTCAACAAACTATTAACTGCTGAAGTAGCAGCTGTGTCCGGGAAGCTCACTTGCAGGTTATCTTGGCAAGGTTGCTCTTTGTATATAGCAGAGCACACAGAGAGGGACTATGAAAGGCAGCTCCTCCAGGGGATCCAGAGAAGCCCAACAGCAGCAGGAGCCACCACCTGTTGTGGGATTGGAAGCCCCATCTGCATTCCCAGCCAGTAGCACGATGCGGCCCCCACATATTTATACAACAGCTAGTTCACTCAAATTTTCTGTCTTGCTTTCTGAGCTTAAGCTTCCCAAATCTCCTTAGTAACGCTTTTGTTTCCATGGTTGCAAGATACAGTTGGTTGCTCTTTGGATGCACTTTTGAGTGCTTAACAGTCATGTTTTTCCAATCTGTTGCTAGGACTCTTGGACAGGTTGTGTTCCCAGAAAATGTGCTTCTTCAGAGTCCAAAGCAGGGTGCTCCAAGTCAGCCATACCATACTTTCCACATCAGACATTCAAGAGGTTTAACATCATTCTGACTTAGGAGACCAATCACTGGCTACATCTGTCCTGCAAGGAACACCTTTACAAACCTGCCATTCACAACAGGCCAGAAAGAAATACCTCTTCATCTGCCCTTATCCTGAGGTGCTCAGGCCAATATTTTCAAATGTGAGGTCTTAAAATTAGGCTCCTAAATCTATATGCAGGCACCTAAATCCTAAGGACCTGATGATCAGAGAAACTCAACACCTACAAATTCCATTCAAGTCCAGGGGAGCAGGAAGTGCTCAAGAGTCTTGTGGGGGGTGGGAAAAAGGCCACTTCTTTTTCAGGTTTCAGTATCTCACTTGGGTAAGCTGGCCTTGGTGACAAGCACAGTATAAATGCCTAAAGGAGATTACAGAGAAGCTAAGGACCTCACTGGTCTACCCAAAAAGTTACATGCTCAAAACAGATGAACACAGTGCCAAATTCCCAGCTGGTGCAAACTGGCATAG